GAGTTCCTTCAGAGATTCTTGATCCAGTGAACACTGTAAGTTAACATGTAATTCTGTTTATATACACTGACAGTGTAAATATATTTATTCGTAAGTACATTTTAACATGTTATAGTACGTTAACTCTTTAATTACTTGCTAAATTTCAGTGGCCAAACAAGAATTCCTACAAGGAAACACTATTGAAGCTGGGAGGATTGTTTAAAAAGAACTTCGAAGTGTTCACAAATCACAAGATTGGAACTGATAGCAACCTGACTGACGAGATATTGGCTGCAGGTCCGAATTTTTGAGATTGAAGAACTAGTTTAGGTGCTATAGAGTCGGTTCCAGAAAGACAGTCATTACAATGATATATTGTTATGGAGAATGATTGTTACATAAAAGTCTGACGGTATTTAAGAAGTTATAGCATGTTAGGTACTTAGTCAGGTCGTAGGGTCAAAGGAATCTTATTTTCCAAATAAAATTTTATTATCAATTTCATATTTTCTTTTGAAAAATAAGATTTACATTTTTTTTAAAAAAGTATGAACCCTGTATGAAGTTTGTTACTGGGAAATCAATACATGGCAGTTTTTCTCTTGAGAGTTGACTGGTGGTTGAGCAATTTGGTGGTTGATTTATAGCTTGGTTAATTCCTTGGAGTATGAGTCGAGTTACACTTATATACGTAACTGTAGGTCAACTTAAAGACATATTTTTAAATTAGTGTCAGATCAAAGTAACGAGTAAAATATTGAATAATATTAAATAATTTCATACGTGTATTTCAAACTGGATCATTCTTTTTTGAAAATTGGAGTGACAAAATCACATGAGAGTTCGTACTCCCCTGGGGGTTGGAAGTGTTGACTAACAAAAATGTTTTATACTTCCCTGGGAGTTGAAAGTTTGACTTTCTAATAAACTAAAATTATATAAAGAACTTCAAAATTTTAGATAAATTCCAAGTGTTTCAAGCTAAAAATTAAGCCAAATTAAACAAACATACACTATGAGCCAGATTACAACTCAAAATTTGAATGGTACTTGTATTCAAATTGAAATCTTGAATGAAAAACTTATAAAACCATCGTTACCAACTCCAAATCATCTCAATTCCTACAAGTTATCATTTTTTGATCAAATTGCACCTAATTTTGCTGTACCCCTTCTTTACTTCTACCCTCCAGTACCACCAGAAAACTCCCACCTACAACGCGTCGAAGAAGTTCATAAACAACTACAAAACTCACTGTCTGAAGTTCTAACCAAGTTCTATCCACTTGCTGGAAGGTTGTCTGAAGATGGTAATGTAACGTTAAATTTCAAATCACTACATAAAAAATGATCTTTAGCAGCAATTAAACGGCAATAACTTAGTTGCAGCTAAATATTTAGCAGCAATTAACGTTCTTTGTATATGTTCCTAAAGCCTTTAGCAATATTGGATCTAATGATACTTGGCTAATGTCGATAAAGACTCTAACACTCTTTATTAATGTGTATATTTATTGCTGCTAAAAGTTGTTTTTGTTGTGGTGAATGTCTATAGGTACTTCCATTGAATGTCATGACCAAGGGGTTATTTACTTGGAAGCAAAGGTGAATTGTCAATTGAATGAATTTCTAGACAAAGCATACAAAGATAGTGACCTTGTTAAAATCTTTGTACCACCTATAAGAATTAGGCTAGCTGAATTGCCAAATAGACCAATGATGGCAATTCAGGCCACCATGTTTGAACATGGTGGCCTGGCGCTAGCCGTGCAAATTGTCCACACAACAGGTGATGGATTCTCTGGCTGCGCGATCACCGATGAGTGGGCTAAAGTTAGTCGAATGGAGAAAGGGAATGTGAGAAATTTACAATTTCGTTCGGATTTAGTGGAAGTATTTCCACCTAGGGATAATATTTTGGAGATGATTAAAAAAGGTAGGCCTAGAGGATATGAAATGAAAATTGCTACAAGAATTTTCATGTTTGATGAAATTGCAATATCTAAGTTGAAGGAAAATGTGAACAAGTTTATGAGTTATTCATCAAGAGTTGAAGTTGTGACTGCACTTATTTGGAGAAGCCTTATGCGTGTGGTGAGGTTGAGACATGGTCACAATAGGCCATCCATGCTACAATTTGCCATAAATTTAAGAGGAAGAGGGTCTCCAAGAGTAGTTGGTACGCAAAACATGTTATTCCTTCTGTTACAATTTACGTGATACACTTTTCTTTTTAGTTTGTCGTGAAAAAACAGCTTACTTTCTATTCGGTGTCTGATGCAAACATTGGATTCCTGAAGTGTTCGTTGTTCGTTTTATCAACCTAAATGGCTACTCCCTTTTTGAGTGCAGGGGAAGATCAAAACTTTTTTGGGAACTTCTACCTTGACATTCCAATCAAATATGTGTCATCTCGTAGCAATCAAGATCCAGAATTACATGAAATTGTAACCTTAATTAGGAATGCGAAGAACAAAATTCTATCAGAGATTGCAAATGCTTCAAGTGAAGAGATTTTCTCAATATTAATTGAGTCATTGAATCAAATAAGAGAAGGGTATAATGATGATGAAATTGACCTTTATCCAACTTCAAGTTTGTGTAAATTTCCACTAAATGAGTCTGATTTTGGATGGGCTAAACCAATTTGGGTGAGCAGAGTAAATGTGCCATTTCAAATGTTCTTCTTGATGGACTCAAAAAATGGGATTGAAGCTAGAGTTTGCTTGAATGAAGAGGATATGATGAAGTTGGAAAAGGATGTTGATATTGTGGAGTTTAGTTATGTGCCAAAGTAGTGTTGGGATTGGAGATTCATGTCCCTTGATGGGAGAATGACTTATTGAGTTCTACGATCGTAGATTCTCGTGAATCGAGCATATTCTATCTTTTGTGAACGTTAAATTTCTACTTTCTTTTGATTTGTTTTCATGTGTTTCAATCTTCTTGCGGCTTAATTGACTTATTTTTATTTCATTAGTCTTGTTTTTAATGGAGTTATTATGTTGTAGACTTTTTAGTCTTTTCATTGTTTAATTTTATTTACCGATAGTTTAAAGTTATTAATAACAGGTTGTTAAAAGATATCTACAAAGTAATTGTGCACAAAAATGTGAGACTAGTACGTTCAAATTCTAAATATTTTTTAAATAAAATGTATAGCCAAACATAATTACAACTCTCATTAAAAAATTCATGATCGTTACGCCTATCAAAACGTAACAAATGACAAATTACTATTACGAAGCATTGTATATGGTGCAATAATAATGTCTTAGGTATAGCGCTAATTATAATCCCTCAATTTTTTTCTACATTAAATACATAAACGTACCCCCCCCGGAGTCCTCAGGGCGCACGCCCCG